GAAGAAGGACTTTACAAGATGTAGGGATTTTTAGAAGCAGGGGGGCCTTTGCCTTTTGTTTTCTCTTAAATAGCTTTTCATATATTTTTGTGGTTTTTTGTGATTTTTAAATATTTTTCCTGTTTTTATATTTTTATGGATTTTTTGCCTTATTTCTATTTTGTAATCTGTTTTGAAAATGATTCTTTTGCTTACTTAGGCTGAGCTGAATTTTCTTCATGGAATTTTCTATTTTCTTTAATAAAACACTTATTATTCAAACCAATTGGTCTCTTGAACAGTAACCTGTCAGAGTGTCACCTGAAGGGCAATTTAAATTATTAAATTGGTCACATTATGCTACCGAGTCCTATCATATTGAGCATATTGGGTCCCAGGACTACAAAGCTCATGTGTGTGCCTTTTTTGGATTTTCCTAAGGTACAAAAGTGTTCTTATGAGGGCAGACTTGTAAGCAGGATTTTGTCACAGGCCTTGACTAAGTAATCAGGACTCTACTCAGTTAATTAAAAGGGTGTGAAAATTCCTAATTACTCTCTGTCTGACCGGTCAAGCATCCTCTTGGGGAGCTGATCGCTGACATGGTGGCAGCGTGGTATGTCCTACGTGCTGGGCTTTGTAGTACTTGCATAGTGGCAGCGTAGTACGCCCTACATGCTTAACTTTGCAGTACTCACATAGTGGCAGCTTGGAACGTCCTGCATGCTGAATTTTGTAATACCTTCATGGTGACCATTTTTTGGTGGCAGAGTGCAAAGTTTTGATTTTTGCGATCTGCAGCGCAAAAGACTTAGGTCTTGCTGTTAGATTCCTGTGGCAAAGGGACACAGACACTAAGGTGAGTGTGTAGCCTCGTGCTAACAATCTGCTGTAAACAGCAAGCTTTCAAGGAAGCACTGTTTACACTGTTTATAGCCACAACCATAAATTGGCTTCAGTATCTGGGATGCTCTTTAAGAAAGAGATCAGCAGAAGACAGCAAACTGTTGAGGACCAATTGAGAACCAATTAGATGGAGAAAGTCAGTTTGTTTTTCTCAAAGGTTTTGCAGATGAAGTGTGGCAAGCTCCGGAGTGTGGCTCTTTGCTTAGGCAAATCCTCACCAATGTAATGGAGGACTCCCACACAGACCTGTATTTCCTTTTGATTTTGGCATTTTGGCTTTTTCAAGTGTTGCACGCCTGCATTCAGCCTGATAAAGTGTCATTCCCTGTGACTTTAGGGTCTCCAGGGTGACTTTACTTTTTGGCTTTTTCAAGTTTGCACGCCTGCATTGAGCCTGGCAAGTTGTCATTTCCTGTGACTTTAGGGTCACTGTGATTTTACTTTTTGCCTTTTTATGTTTTGGATGCCTCTGTTCCATCTGCCAAGTGTCATTCCTGTAACTCCCGGGTTATCAGGCTGACCAGAGTGATTAGAGGTGCAGAGTAAGTTTTGCATTGTTTTTGTTTTTCTTTCCTTTTTGATGTTTTGAAGCCTGAATAGGCTAACACTATTTTGAAATTTTCTTTTTGCTAGTAAGCTTAGGCCAGCTAGTAATTAGAAGATGGAAGGGAAGGAGATACTAACCGTGGATATTTTTATCAACTCCATGTATGATCACATACGGAGAATGGAGGAAACGATTAGAGTCAAGGACCTTATGATAACAGGATTAATGGCTGAAAATTTGAGATTACTTCAAATGCTTGTGGATGCTGGACTCTTGCCCAGAGTAAGTGAAGGAGATTTTTTATTTGGAATAGACCGAGAGGAGGAATTTATACCTGACTTTGTGGATTACAAAAATGGGACGTTATATAACTCTTGCAGTACAACTGAAGAAAATTTTGACGGCTCTTAGTGGATTTTTAATGAGCCAGTGAGTGAAAACTTTTCACCAGACAGCTTAACTATGTCTGGAATGTCTATGGAAGCTGATAACAACTTCGTTAGTGTGCCGGAGGATAGAGCGCCTGTACAACATTCAGCTGGAGAGAAAAACGCAGAGCGAGAGGAGATTTTACTAAGCACTTCCAGTGTTCCTAATGAGTGTTCTGCAAAGTCATTGGAAGCCGCGAGAGTTGACAGAGCAGAAACGGACGACCGGAAGCCTTCGACAGCCCAAGGAGAGGTGAGAAAATATGGGCCTATTTCTGAGACTGGGAGCATAGCAGCTAAGTGGGAGGAAGATTTTCTCCGTGGCCTTATGGACTTTTCCAAGCCTGGAGAATCAGAGCACTTTTGCCTAGATGGCCAAGAAGCAGCCCAGAGGTCACCAGCTAAGTACAGAGTGAGCCTGGGCACCGATCTAGCAATGGAGGGCATTCCTGTTCAAGAGTGCCAGCCTAGTAATTCCCCGCTGGCTGAAGAGAGAGAGGGAGGAAACGGACAGCATGGGGGAAGTGAGATGCAGCTTGAAGCGTCAAGAGGAGGAGAGTTTTGCCAGAGAGATGTTTCTCCATGTCAAGAGACAGTTAAAATAATTGCTACTCCAGTTCATGACCCAGCCAAGACTGTTAATCTTGCCTCAGTAAAACTAAATGGACAGCCTTTAGGGCTAAGACAACTTAACGTTAACCCAACACCTCATGTTGCTAATTTGCCTACAGAAGCAGGAGATAAAATGTCAAATGCATTTGCTTTATCTGGGACGTTGTTTTGTTTCGAGGATGCACGAGACCTAGCAGTTCTGCAACAGAATATTTTTCAAGTGGCTAGCAAGGTGAACGGAGAACTGATTTTTAGAGAGGTGAATCTCTTGGAAGAGAGAAAACTGCATCTTGGTTTATCCAAATGTGTATCTGAATTTAAAGCAGTTATGAGAAATTTGTTTCAAAATGATGGGGCAAGAGTAAATCACACTGATGCCTTAGAACTTCCAATTACTGCTGGTTCCTTAACGAGAGAGCCCAATGCTGTTTTACAAGCAGATAAGCAGGAAGTTAACCTTGAAAACATCCCAGCAAATCTGGGAAATGTGCCAACTGTTCAAAGGCCTGAAGCAATTAAGCCGACAGTGTCATTACAGGAGAATGTGGATATTTTCAGGCAGGGAGAGGAGTTTCGTGGCAAATCTGTTTTTGAGCGGCTAACTGATGTCATTGGTAACTCTGACTTGTTTAAAATTAGCCTGAACAATGACGTGACTTTAAAAACAATTAGGGACATTGCCAATCAATCAGAAAATTTTTCTGGGCCTGTTTATTTCTATTGGAATGAAAGAAGACTGCTTTTTCATGAACTGTACACAGATCCATTTGGGAGTTTATCTCCTAAGGAGCAGCTGGTAATACCTCTGTTTTTCAGAGCACAAGTGCTAAAACTGTTTCATGAAAATAACAACAAACATCACAGTTTTGCAGAATCTTGGCGAATGGTGAATGAATATTTTTATTGGCCTGATATGAAACAGTGTGTCAGTAATTACATAGAGACTTGTCCAGTTTGCAGAGCTGATTGGGATAGAGACTTTTCTGATGAGAAACCTGTTTTGGCATCTCAGGATACTGAATCAGCTGTACTTAAAATGTACATGTGTGTGGCGTTTCTTGATCAACATGTTCAAGAGATTGTTCCTATTATTGGAAATGAACTTAACTAAGATAGTGAAGAGAAGGAAGACGTGGAAATTAGCCCACAGGATTGGCTTGAAAATGTACTCTCTTATTACCAAAGTGTTTTTTCTCATCTACCTGGAGAATCTAGAATTGGGCAACATTTTATTAAAACTGGTCACAACCCACCTGTTATTTCTAACCCTGTATATGCAGAAGGGACTGATGTCAGTATTGTGACTGAACTAATTAATGATCTTTTACTTTTTGGTGTGATTGAGACAACCCGGTCAAATTGGTGTAATTCTATAATGGCTTTGAAAAGGGAAGGATCAGGTCATGTCACTTTTGAAGTGGATTTCAGTCAATTGAACCAGATTACAGAACCAGATAGAGTACCTACAGAAAGAGAACAACTGCTTGCTTTTCTTAGACTGGTTGATCATTTCAAAGAGTTCATTACTGATTACAGTACACTGGTGTTGCCACTCAAAAGACTAGTAAGGAGGCCGAGATCTGTTGAGATTAAGTGGACACAAGACTGTAAAGATTCTTTTGTGGCATTGAAAAAGTTGCTTACTGTGGATCCTATTCTGAAATCCACTGATTTTGACAAACCTTTTGTGGTACAAACTATGCCCTCAGACACTGGCCTCGGTGCTGTTTTGTTACAGAAAGGTGAAGATGAATTTTTACATCCAGTTGCTTATGCTGCTAGACCGTTGAAGTCTACAGAGAAGGACTATAGTGGCCAGGAGAGATCTGCTTATGCAATTTTATGGGCAGCTCATATTTTTAAACCTTACATTTGTCTTCAGAAAGTTGTTTTTCAAACAAACAAGAATACTTTGACATGGTTACATAGACAGAAAGTGAATTGCCAGAGATTGATGTATTGGAGTCTCAGACTGCAAGAATATGATTTTGTTATTGAACACATGCCTGGCAGGAAAGCATTGATTGCTCACAGCTTATCAAGGATGTATAGTAGAGAGAGTGAAGATGGTTAGAGTGGTGAAGATCTGATGTATTAAATTTTCTGAAATTGATACCCTGTGATACACTTAGTGCTCCTGTGCATACGCAGAGTGCCTTTTTCATATTTTACTTCCTAATAGAATACTAATGTAACAAATCAAGGTTATGTTAATCATTATAGCATGATTTCATTGTTGTTTCCTAATTTTACTGTTTTACTGATGAATGGTTATCTGAGCATATACAGAGTGATATATTTTAATGATGTATATTAACATTGTTTTTCTATTTTCCAGATAGTAGAAGTGCTTAACCAAGGGATTGTATTACATGATTTACTAGATTAATTGCAGTTTTGACATGTATTAGTTTAGTATAAGAATAATACTTGTTTTCCTGTATTATGTGAATATCTAATTACTGCACATCATTGTAGTTAATTAGCAAAAATGGAAATTCGACAGAGAATTTCGGATTTTTGAACTCCCGCTGAAGGCATGTGATGATATGGGTTTATGTAGTTCAGATCTTGTACTGAAAATGGTTTATGTAGTAGTAACAATGGAATTTAACTTGCATTTTATTTCTCTGTGTGAATGATTTTGGCAATGCTGGCAGGATTGTCTAGAAGGCTGTGGTATGTTTCTCTGAAGGCCTAGAGAAACATTCCTAAGATAAGGACTTTGTTAAGATAGACTGAAGAATGGACATTGTTATGGCGTAGCTGCAGATGGGCTATGTAAATAACACCTGTTACACATGGGAGAGAACTGTGTTTGGAATGGAGACGATAAAGAGGGACTGTTTACCTAAACTTATGCTTTGATTGGTTGTTAGCGTGAGAAAGGGAGATAAGGGAAGACGAAACAGAGAGTCAAATCATGGGAGAAGCCATGTGGAGTCAATTGATGCCATCCTAAACCATCTGCTGGACATTATTCTAAGGGGAGCCTTTACCATGGATGTTACCTAATGGACCAGGCCTTTCCTAGGCCTTTTTCTTTTTTGGAATATTGAGCCCTTTCTGGGTTCCTGAATTTTGTTCCCTATTGTGGATTATTATTCTTTTTGCCATGGATCTGCTTGGATACTTTTTCTATGATTTACCTGCTTGGATTACCTGTAGATTACCTGTGGATTACTAATGGATTACCTTATTCATTTTCCATGGATTAATTTTTACTTTTTCATGTGGATTATTTTTGGGGTAATTATTTTAAAAATGCTTGCTTGCTGAAGAAGGACTTTATAAGATGCAGGGATTTTTAGAAGAAGGGGGGCTTTTGCCTTTTGTTTTCCCTTAAATAGCTTTTCATATATTTTTGTGGTTTTTTTGTGATTTTTAAATATTTTTCCTGTTTTTATATTTTTATGGATTTTTTGCCTTATTTCTATTTTGTAATCTGTTTTGAAAATGATTCTTTTGCTTACTTAGGCTGAGCTGAATTTTCTTCATGGAATTTTCTATTTTCTTTAATAAAACACTTATTATTCAAACCAATTGGTCTCTTGAACAGTAACCTGTCAGAGTGTCACCTGAAGGGCAATTTAAATTATTAAATTGGTCACATTATGCTACCGAGTCCTATCATATTGAGCATATTGGGTCCCAGGACTACAAAGCTCATGTGTGTGCCTTTTTTGGATTTTCCTAAGGTACAAAAGTGTTCTTATGAGGGCAGACTTGTAAGCAGGATTTTGTCACAGGCCTTGACTAAGTAATCAGGACTCTACTCAGTTAATTAAAAGGGTGTGAAAATTCCTAATTACTCTCTGTCCGACCGGTCAAGCATCCTCTTGGGGAGCTGATTGCTGACACTATCCGTCACTTTTTATGGTATATTTGAGCTCATGCTCTTATGGTGGCGGATAAATGGAACTGAAGGCTGGGGGGAATGGAGCATACATGCAAGGGGCAATCTAAACTTTGTATCTTTTCAGAAAAGCTCTAGAAGATTCTGAAGTTCCAGCGCACGTGCTGACTTAACCCAAATGTGTGAATTCACAGAGGTCCACTTGAAGAACCATGGTTACAGGTAAGTAACCTCTCTTTCAATTATTTGTTTCCTCTTTAATCAACTTTGAGAAATTCCTTTCTAATTTTCTGGAAACTTAAGAACAATCATTGGGGAGGATTTGAGAAGGAAGAAAGTTAATATACTTTGAATTTGATGCACTTACTTGGGTGAGGAAATTATCCTCCCTTCATGACTCCTCCCTCCAAAAGGTCCCTCACTAAAGAGTCCATCCAAACTGAAGCCCAAAGGAACACCCTCCGGTTTGGCAGCATCCCCCCCCTGGTTCTCTTCCCTCGCCTATTTGGCTGTCTTTCATTCCTCCTCTGTGACTCAGGCGGAGTCGGCACACATCATTCCTTATTCCTGCAGATATTGGAAGTCATTGTTTCTCTTCTTTTTCTAAGCTAGAAGATGATGATGAACAGGAGAATTGCCTAGCATCAAGTGGGGCAACCTGGGCAGGAACTCGCAATCAAGCAAGAAAACAGAGAACTGAAAATAGGAATGGCCATGCATGGACTTCACATAAAAGGACTGGCACAGGAGAGAAATCATGTAAATGCATGTCACCTCAGTAGACATCAAAGAAAACATGGAGGGGAGAAAATGTATCCCTGTATGGAATGTGGAAAGAGCTTCAGTCACAGTAGTATCCTTAGATCACATCAAAGAACTCACACCGGGGAAAAACCACATCAATGCATAGAATGTGCAAAGAGTTTTAGTCAGAGTGGTCACCTTAGGTTACATCAAAGGACTCCCACTGGAGAGAAACCACATAAATGCATGGAATGTGGAAAGAGCTTCAGTCAGAGTGGTCGCCTTAGGTTACATCAAAGGACTCCCACTGGAGAGAAACCACATAAATGCATGGAATGTGGAAAGAGCTTCAGTCAGAGTGGTCGCCTTAGGTTACATCAAAGGACTCCCACTGGAGAGAAACCACATAAATGCATGGAATGTGGAAAGAGCTTTAGTCACCGTAGCACCCTTAGGTTACATCAAAGGACCCACACTGGGGAGAAACCACATAAATGCATGGAATGTGGAAAGAGTTTTAGTCGCAGTGATACCCTTACATCACATCAAAGGACTCACACTGGGGAGAAACCACATAAATGCATGGAATGTGGAAAGAACTTTAGTAAGAGTAGTGACCTTAAGTCACATCAAAGGACTCACACTGGGGAGAAACCGAATAAATGCATAGAATGTGGAAAGAGCTTTAGTCAGAGTGGTTACCTTAGGAAACATCAAAGGATTCACACTGGTGAAAAACAACATAAATGCATGGAATGCGGAAAGAGCTTTAGTCAAAGTAGCACTCTTAAGTTACATCACAGGACTCACACTGGAGAGAAACCACATAAATGCATGGAATGCGGAAAGAGCTTTAGTCAAAGTAGCACTCTTAAGTTACATCACAGGACTCACACTGGAGAGAAACCACATAAATGCATGGAATGCGGAAAGAGCTTTAGTCAAAGTAGCACTCTTAAGTTACATCACAGGACTCACACTGGAGAGAAACCACATAAATGCATGGAATGCGGAAAGAGCTTTAGTCAAAGTAGCACTCTTAAGTTACATCACAGGACTCACACTGGAGAGAAACCACATAAATGCATGGAATGCGGAAAGAGCTTTAGTCAAAGTAGCACTCTTAAGTTACATCACAGGACTCACACTGGAGAGAAACCACATAAATGCATGGAATGCGGAAAGAGCTTTAGTCAAAGTAGCACTCTTAAGTTACATCACAGGACTCACACTGGAGAGAAACCACATAAATGCATGGAATGCGGAAAGAGCTTTAGTCAAAGTAGCACTCTTAAGTTACATCACAGGACTCACACTGGAGAGAAACCACATAAATGCATGGAATGCGGAAAGAGCTTTAGTCAAAGTAGCACTCTTAAGTTACATCACAGGACTCACACTGGAGAGAAACCACATAAATGCATGGAATGCGGAAAGAGCTTTAGTCAAAGTAGCACTCTTAAGTTACATCACAGGACTCACACTGGAGAGAAACCACATAAATGCATGGAATGCGGAAAGAGCTTTAGTCAAAGTAGCACTCTTAAGTTACATCACAGGACTCACACTGGAGAGAAACCACATAAATGCATGGAATGCGGAAAGAGCTTTAGTCAAAGTAGCACTCTTAAGTTACATCACAGGACTCACACTGGAGAGAAACCACATAAATGCATGGAATGCGGAAAGAGCTTTAGTCAAAGTAGCACTCTTAAGTTACATCACAGGACTCACACTGGAGAGAAACCACATAAATGCATGGAATGCGGAAAGAGCTTTAGTCAAAGTAGCACTCTTAAGTTACATCACAGGACTCACACTGGAGAGAAACCACATAAATGCATGGAATGCGGAAAGAGCTTTAGTCAAAGTAGCACTCTTAAGTTACATCACAGGACTCACACTGGAGAGAAACCACATAAATGCATGGAATGCGGAAAGAGCTTTAGTCGCAGTGGTGTCCTTAGGTTACATCAAAGGACTCACACTGGCTAGAAACCACATAAATTCCTGGAATGTGGAAAGAGCTTCAGACTAAGTGGTCACCTTAGGTTACAGCAAAGGACTCACACTGGGGAGAAACCACATAAATGCTTGGAATGTGGAAGGGGTTTTACTCAGAGGTCCTGATAATTAATGCATAAGAAACTCATTCAGTTTTGTGCTGGTTTCCAGTGGAAAAATTAAGCAACCAAAAGCTGACTCAATGCAAAAGAGAGAAAAAGCAAAAAAATGGAGTGCATTTGAAGTGCCACTTGTGATGTGTTTTACTTCTATTGTTAATTAACAGAGAGATACCACAAAATAGACGTGGAAGTTCTTGCTTAAAAAATGAGCATAAGTATATATTGTATAATGGAAGCTTTTACAAAATTAGTGTAAAACGGGTCTCTACGTGGGGCTGCCTTTGAGGCTGCTGCGGAAACTACAGGTGGTGCAGAATGCTGCGGCCAGACTTATCAGTGGCGTGAAAAAATACCAACATATTTCTCCCACTCTGGCCGCACTGCATTGGCTGCCCATCCGTTTCCGCATCGACTTCAAAGTGCTGATGCTTTCGTATAAAGCC